AGAAATTCCAAAAATAGTCTTTTGGTGACGTCACACTTCACCACTCTATACTTATGTGACTATTATTTATTGTCTCTTACTTTGCCCTAGGTGATCTTGGAGGACTGATCGGTGTCCATATGGGAGCTAGCCTCCTAACACTCTTCGAGTTCGTTGATTACACCTTCGTCCACAAGATTCTGCAAATTCGCTTCTTGTGGAGGAAAATCAAGTCAAGATGTAGCCGGGATAAAAAGGAAAAAGAGACTACCACGTAATCAGTGGCATAGCCAGTATATATTATGGCGGAGACGGTAAATGCTCCCACACCCTCGTTTGAAAGCGATCGGATCGAATTTGTTGTTTCTTAAACTTTTGAACTTTTTACCTATGCACACTTGAATGAAATAGTAGGTCGGGTTCTGAAGATTTGTTTTTCTCCATATGGAAAGGGGTGGCTCGGGGCATCCCCGGCCTGAAATTTAGTAACTGTTCGGAAATACAACCCCTTCTTCTCCTTGTATAACAGCTATACAAACTTATACTAGCTAGGCTGGCCGACTGAGCCACGGCGTGCCCTATGTAGTATACGGTACTCATTCGCAAGACCTAGGAAGGCCAACTTCAAATTTCGAAAAGTTCTCCAGCTAATTCTTTTCATCGGCAATAAACTTTAAAACAAAAAATTACCAGAAATCTTCTCAAGTATTCATACTTCAGGATGCTTACCTTTTAGGGGGAGGTGGGGGGGGGGGGGTATTGAGCACTAATTTCATTTTATTTTTGTCCGGGGGGGCACGTGCTCCCCCCCCCCCCCCTAGATCCGCCACTGATTATTTGAATCTTTCCAGTACTGCACTGTCGCATTGTTCGAAGATGGCGACCAACGCGCGCTCGTGAGATCTGATTCGTTGAAATTTTATCTTGCACTGCGTGACGTCATCTACGGGCCATCTGATTGGCGAGAAGTTTATGTTCTCAAAGATTTATATCTAGAAGCTGGTTGCGAAAGAACTTTTAGTCGAATCCCCAATTGATTAAGTCTTAAAGACTTGAAATATGTTAAGTCTAAAATGGATTTAAAATTTAAGTCCTAGAAATTTAAAGATAGTACACCTATAACTCTATAACCCTAAAATGCAATAGCAACCATAATCTTGGTCTATATCTTCGTCGAAATAATACTAATAATAGCTATGAGGTGTTGTGGTCTAGTGGATAAGTCGTTGGACTGTGGATCACAGGGTCCGCGGTTCGAGTCCCGCCACGGCACTAATGTCCTTTGGCAAGATATAAATCTACATTTGCCACTCTCCACCCAGGTGTTAAATGGGTACCGGTAGGAACTTTAATCCTTTTAATTATTGCTCTAAGCACCTTCCGTGGTGGGTAATAATTATGAGCTTTAAAAACATCAAATATTATGATTATAATATTCTTACTCATACTTGTTTTAAAAGCAACAAATGAAATAAGATTTCTTTCTTTCTTCTACATATTATTTTATTACAAAAGGCGAATCTTTAATAAATTACTAGAACATGTATGCACAGAGTAATACACACTATTGTAGACGATACTAGCTTTCACATTTCAACTGCATGTAACATCTATACATCATTAGTTTGTAGTAATCTTATATCTAGCTATAAAAATATGAAAGAGAAAGTAATTTGGCATCATTAAGGGTTTTTCTCAAATATATACTATTACTACTGTATTCAATGTGAACATAACTATTAAGAAGTCTCATGATTATAATATTCACGTGTGAAGATTTCGCTAAAAGGATTTGTGTATACCAAAGGAATAAAACATTTCTTTGCAAAATAAAAGTAGTGTAATCATTTATTTATTTTTTTCTTCTTTTGATTCGCCGTTCTTCAAAGAATATACAGACGTTTTAATCTAAAAATGAACAGGAGCTGAAATAAACTTTCATTTGGAGTGCAAATCCACGCTTAATATAGTGGAGAACCACTCTCAAGAGATTAATTCAACCACTATTTTGGAGTGGATTTCACTCTGACTTAGAGTGGATTCAAGTCCAAAAGGATGCGATCCATTATGACTCCTATACAGGGGCGTCGCTAGACCTTTTTCAGTGGGGGGGGGGGTGTAGAGGCCAACGATTACCGACGAAAGTAGCCACCAATTACCGACAAGATTAAATTTCCAATATGTACAAAGTCAACCCTATAAACCTGGGGCCGAAGGCTAAATTATTTTTCCTATGGACTATCTATAGTACTTGCATATGCGCAAAATGGTCATTTTCCTCGACGACATTAATATACGAATTATTTCTTAAATTTAGTCAGCATCATAGCTATATACTTTAATGCAGGCTGTAGGATCTTATTTTAGGGAGGGTCGGTAGTGAGCAAGAGAATCACTTAAAAGCGCGCTCATAAGGGGGTGTGGGTGATGAGCCTCCCGCGCGAAGCGCGGAAGCTTAGACGTTTCCTTAAATTATTAGGAAAAGAAGACGCTTAATTGTACCGTTTTCGACTGGTAATCCTAGGCTGAATGAAGTTCCCCCCCCCTCCCGCGCGAAACGCGAAAGCTTTGACGTTAATTAAATTATTTTTTTAAAAAGAAGACGATTTGCTGTACCATTCTCGACTGTTTATCCTTTTCTGAATTCAGTATTCCCCCCCCCCCCGCGCAAAGCGCGGAAGCTTTGACGTTTCATTAAATTATGAGAAAAAGCAGACGATTCGGTGTACTTTTCTCGACTCTTAATCCTAATCTGAATGAAGCTTCCCCCTCCCGCGCGAAGTGCGGAAGTTTTGACGTTTCATTAAATTATTAGAGAAAGAAGACGATTCGTCGTACCATTTTCGACTTTAAATAAGCTCTATTAATTTTGTCTGAATTTAGTTTCCCCCTCTCGCGCAAAGCGCGTAAGCTTTGACTTTCCTTACATTATGAGAAAAAGTAGACGATTCGGTGTACTGTTTTCGACTTTTAATAAACCCTATTAATTTTGTCTGAATTCAGTTTCCCCCCTCTCGCGCGAAGCGCGTAAGCTTTGACGTTTCCTTAAATTATTAGAGAAAGAACACGATTCGTTGTACCGTTTTCGACTCTAAATAAGCCCTATTAATTTTGTCTGAATTCAGTTTCCCCCTCTCGCCCGAAGCGCGAAAGCTTTGACGTTTCCTTAAATTATTAGAGAAAGAACACGATTCGTTGTACCGTTTTCGATTCGTCTAAATGAAGTTTCCCCTTCCGCGCGAAGCGCGGAATTTTTGGCGTTTCATCACAATATAAAGAAAGAAAAATGATTCGTCGTACCGTTGTTGATTTTTAAACCTTGTTTGAATTTAGTTTCCCCGAAAATTTTAAACCTCTGATTTCTTTAGCTGATATTATAGGAAAGTGAAACTTCGAGAAAATACAAGTATTGTAGTTGTAGTCACTCTCGAAGTCGTCACAGCGGATAAGAAGTCGCAGTTCGTAGGGAAAAAAAACTTGTCGGCCGTCCGACAATATACATCTCACCGACTTCAAACTTATGCATTGATGAGGATCGAGCAAGAATACCGACACAGCTGACCCGACACAGCAACATATTTATCCGTGTCTTTCTTGCTCCCTCGACGAGACGACTCCACCCAACAACCCCCTTTTCTCTTTTACTCCCACTCCTCTTCTCTCAGACTCTTACCTGCCCTCTCTCTCCTCTCTTTCATCCCCCGTTTCTTTTGTTTCCCTTTCACTCTTTTTTCTTCTTTTTTTCCTTTTATTTCTTTTCTTTCTTTTCCTTTTTTTCCTCTCCCCCTCTTTTTCTTTTTTCTCTTTTTTTCTTCTCTTTTCTTTCCTTTCTTTTCCTTTCTTTCCTTTCTTTTCCTTTTTTTCTTTTCTTTTCCTTTTCTTTTTTTCTTTTCTTTTCCTTTCCCTCTCTTTTTTTCCCTCTCTTTTTTCCCCTCCCCCTTTTCTCTTTTTCCCGACGGCAGCGCAATTTTACCGACAATATCCTGACAGGTGGGGGTGTCGCACCCCTACACCCCCCCCCCCCCTTTGGCGACGCCTCTGCTCCTATAGAGAGAGTAGATTTCCACTCCCCGCTTTTAGTACATCATTAAGCGACAGAAAAAAGTGCTATTCCTGCCACCTCAATCCATAATTCCAACTAGAGCCTCTCAGTGCATGGTATATTTGTTTATTATGAGCTTCACAACGAAGAAAAACAGTTAAAAAAAAATATATATATATATATATATATAGGCCTAGTTGATTAGTCTACTGGAACAAACAATATTGGATTGCTCTTTGCGTGTTAACTATGCAATAATTAAGAAAATCATCATGTTAAAACTATACTAGATAACGTTTACAATTCTCATATAAATTATGTTATGTTATGCTACTTTTATTTGTATTCCATTCGTTTGTATTTAATGCTTAAAAATGCTACTTGTGGATTTCCTAGCGCATGAATTTATCTACATTTGGCGAATGTTGCTCTGCATTCAAATTGGCAATGTTAAATCTTTCATCTTCGCTTCCTACATACAGCGTATAGACGCCTAATAAATATAAGATGTCTTGTATGACGTCATAATACACAAGGAAATATTTCAGTTATAGCAGGTTAACTTATGTACACACTGACATGTTTTCAAGATTTACTTTCCTCGTCTAATATTATGGACAAGGTTAGCAATTAGAGAAATTAAAAAAAAAAAGTTGTATTTAAACCAAAACATGAACGAGAACATTTCACATACTACTCATACTACTCATTGCTAGGACTGCAACGAATGTCAGATTTATGAATATGAGCCTACTTCATCGTTAATGGTGTTCTGTTTTCGACTCACCAAACGACATCGTTTTTTAGAAGAAAAAAACATCTCATTATTAAGAAACAGTAACTGCTACTGCAGCCCTGTGATCAGGGGCTCGTTTCATAAAGCTTGTTATCTATAACAACTGCTAAATTGCTATGACAAATTTGCTCTCAGCCAATCAGATGCCATGATTTCAGTAGCCTGTAACAGTAACTTGTAACTTGTTATTGATATCAAGTTTTATAAAACAGGGCCCTGGTCCATGGTCGAACGCAGCATGAAGACCCCAAAGAAGGTCTTGTCGCTCCCGGTGTTGATTCGCAGATCGCCATTCGATACGCTCACGGTGATCCTATCGCCCTTCTCCAGATGGAACACCCCACCGTGGTACTTCGTCGCGTATTCTTTGAAAGGGACGACGCTTTCCATCAACGGGACGTGGTTGCGATTTGTCGAAGAACGCTGCAGCAGAGAATAAACGGGAAATGACGTGGGTTACGATTGGCGGGAAACAAGAGCCATCTGTACACGTGATTTGGCCAACTTAGTTTCAGTTGGTGCATACTCTTTTGTTTTGTGCTAGCTTGCTCAACAAGACAGTGTTATAGCCATAGTAATATGCCCAACTTGAACCAAATTGGCCAAACTCTCCTAATCAATAGCTCTGGACACAAGTTCAAACTGCCACAGTACAATAGCAATAGGAGGTCTGTCTTAAGTCCATTTGACCAAAGCATCTCGACTTTTCATTTCCGCCTGACAACTTAACTTAGCCTTAAAAAAAAAACATGTTGTGTGTATAAAATACTGTACGTAGGTACGTATAACCCTTTAAAAATAAAGTACCATGATAACCCTGGTTCTTTGTCCAAATTACCATCCACCATTCGAACCATGGTATTAAACATTGATATCATGGTTACCATGATTCGAATGGTGGATAGTAATTTGGACAAAGAACCATCAGTGGTTAGCATGGTTCTTATTAGTAAGGTATACTCATTGTATGTAACATGACAAAGGTTTTAAGGATTAAGGAGGAAAAGATGAGAGAAAGTTCAGAGGACGCGGGGAAAAGAAAGATTTGGACAGCGGTCTTTGAAGTCATGATCATTCTTTTTTTAAGTCTGTAATAATCTAAGAAGAGGTAAGAAGGAGAAGGAGGACGAGGAGGAAGAAGAGGACGAGAGAGATTGTTTTTTAAATGACTGGTTACCATTGGCAACGCCTGCTGAGATGAGGGGTCAACTGTCGCTCCACTTTCCGAATCACTGAAGTAGATTTGAGTGTAGAGGTAGTAATAACCCGACTCGACGATTTCAATGCCATAGCTGTCCAGAAATTTCACATTGTGTGTTACGTTCACTTTCCATTCAGCTAAACATTCTAATAAACGATAATAGAATGGTACAAAAGTATTACAAATGAGGACAAATCTTGGAAAAGTTTACAGTCAATCATTATTGATGATTGATGATGATAGTGAGTTTTCTTGTATAGAGCTCATATCTCTCAGACCTAACATCTCTGGTTTTCCCTGATGTTCCTCCAATAGGCAAACTTTTATTATATTTTTTATTTCGTTTGTTCGTTGTTGTTGTTGGGTTTTTTTTTTTTTAAATAATTTTACATGTAGGCTTACTTCAAGATAAATGGACTGAGGAGAAAATTAACAAAGGGAAAGTAATAATGTAGGCTATAAGATGCAGACTTTGATACGATTTTGATTCAATCTAAATAACATACACAACAAACAGAGTCGCAAAGACTTTCAAGAAACCAACTCATTGACAAGAGCAATTCCAACACTCTATAGTACATTCCATCCCACTTTATAAAGTCTGCGATCGAGTTAACGTACAAGACTAAAGAACTGCCAAAGGGATTAAAGTACAAAAATGAAACAAAATATGTTGTTCTTTACACTATGAACATGACGGACAAAGAAAGAGGACAAAATATACAGTTCCTCAGATAGACAAACTAAGGAACATCCCTTCACTGCTATTATGTAAAAATGTGTAGAACAGGTGTCACATGCATATTCACCTGTTCTACAAATGTTTACATAATACTGTAGCAGTGAAGGGATGTTCCTTTGTCTACCACAGAGACGGTTGAGGGTAGAATGAGGAACTGTATATTTTGTCCTCTTTCTTTGTCCGTCATGTTCATAGTGTTATTCCTTACCCAATTGCATATCATTTCCCCTCCGTCCATTGTCTGTCCCGACAACGTGAGCGTAGGCTGATTTCGCCGCTCCCTCGTATGATGGTGGTGGCATAGCTGTTTGAGGACCATCGAATGAGGGTGGAGGTGAAGCACCGTGCCGACTTTCTTGATGCTACACGAGAAGTGAACAAAAAAAGGAGGGGGAAATATTTAACAGAGTGATCTACAAGTTAATCCTCTAAACCCTCTCGCACTCTGCCTCCCATTCCGGCTTTCTCTTACTCCCCCCCCCCCAAACCCCACCGTTCTCTCTCTCTCTCTCTCTCTCTCTCTATCTCTCTCTCTCTCTCTCTCTTTCCCTCTTACCCTATCTCTCACTCTCTCTGCTATGGTTGTCTCACTATCTCTCTATATTATCACTTTCTCTTTGTATTTCTTTATAGCTTTCTCCTTTCGCGCTCTCCCTTCTAACTTAAACTCCCTCTCTCTCTCTCTCTCTCTCTCTCTCTCTCTCTCTCTTAACTTACCGGATCGACTATGTTCATCTCGAGTCCCAGTCCATGGTTGTGCACGTACATATAGAGGGTAAAGCAAGAGATGATCAACGCCAGAATCGCCGCGATGAAACACACTGCGATGGCGCAGGCGGTCGCGTTACAAGTACTAAGTTGTTTCGAGCGGGAACTCGGCTTCCTCGAAAGCTGTCCTCTGCAGCTGTGATGTCGGTCGAGATGATTTTGCTCCCCCGTCGCCGACGATGGGATCCAGTTGGAGGCGGGACTGTCGATGTCACCCATGTGGGCTTCAGAGTCCATCTTCGGTACGGTGGTCGAGGGTGGTCGGTAGAATTTGGTCCTAAGCTTGTGAAGCTTGTGAAGCTTGTGGATACGGGGATTTAGCTGTGGATGAGAAGCTCTCTCAACGAACCGATTGGTGTTCGCGTAAGTACTCAACTGATTCAAGAGAAAGAGCTGTTGCGAGCAGTATGGAAAAAACCTCGCTAAGTGCTCAGATTTTCTGTTGAGAAGTAGACAAGAACCGAAAAATCAACTGTCGAGTTTAGGTAGCTAACTAAGCTAACATTATAATCAATCGATTGAGTCCTAGTCAGAGGTCTTGGAATGACTCATGGGGATCCCTCGATGGATAGAATCTGACTGTATTGCGAAACACGTCTCTTGTACCAGTAGGCCTATAACTTGGATTCAGGTTCTTTTCCAGACGGCGGGGAAAACCAAAGCTCTCAAATTAGATCACTTCACGAGACGAACAGAAATAACCGCAGTTTGAACTTCGTGCTTGCGTTCAGAATGAAGAAAACTGTAGAATATGAACCGTTTAAACAGATTTTGAGGAGTTGTTTTACCTTGTCGAGTTTGCGCATATGCAAATTTGAAATGATGCAAATAAAATTCTCAATATTTATTAATTCTAAACGATTTCGAAATTGAAGATTCGCTTGTTTGTCCCTGTAGAGTTGATTTTGCTGTAGACTCTGCTGAACTGTATTCCAGGACTGTATTACAGTATTCTATTCAGAGCAAGATACAAGCGATGCTTTGTAGTTATGTGCAGAGTGGAAAAACCAACGGGGATTCCCCGCGTTTTCACCACGCCCGCTTATTCATGTATTCGTAGTGTGCAAAACAGACCCTTTGAGGAACCACGGCACGAGTGTGTCAATAATATTAGTCGATAATTATGCTATTCATTTTGACTCTCCATAAAGATTCTCATCTATTATTCATGTAAGGACATTGCAATAGAACATGGCCCTGACAAAGGATTATGTCCACAATCAATAGTCTCATCATGACCGTGAGATGCATTTATCTTGCACGATTTCGACAAAAGGTTTATGGCTGCAAACTAACATTTATTATTTATTTTCTACGTGATATTTTTTTTCCATCATTCACAGGTGTTACAAATGAATATTTGATAAATATTCAACAAATATTGGTAATTACATACTATAAATGAAAGCTACATAACATACGACTCATTTAAACAATTCAACATCATTATAGTGTATTTTAAGATTTCACTTCAAATTGACATAATAATAATACTAGAGAATATTTATTAAGCGCATAATACATTGGAAATTTCTCTATGCGCTTTACAATTATGACACATTTGAATATATAAATATACAACAAAATAATTAACAAAGTAGTTAAGCAAATAACACAAAATATTCATGGGAATATATACCTATAATTACACCTAAGTAAATCTCTATGACATGACATATTAAAAATTCAACAGACACCCATCTGTCGAACCAACCTCCTAACCAGCAAAAGGACAAAGCAGCTCTCTAGGAAACCCTCGAAAACAAACAATTTTTCAGTGCTCTCCCAAAGCTGTCAGTGCTCCCAACAACTCTAAGCTGGTCAGAAAAGTTGGTTCCACGAGACAGGCGCTGCCGTTGAAAAAGCACGAGAACCAGTACGTTTGGGTTGATGTGGTAGGGATAGTCAGGATATCAAGTTCAAGTTCAAGTTCTATGTTGAGGAGCGGAGATTTCTACCGGGTATGTAAGAAGAAATGATTTTAAGAAGATAAGTCGGGGATTTGTGAATTATTACCTTGTGACACAACATGATAACTTTATAAACAATTCTTTTTTTTTACAGGTAACCAATGAAGGCGAGTCAACATAGGTGTTACTGGATCTCTTTTCCTTGCTCGTTCAACAAGTCTTGCAGCACTATTTTGCACAATTTGCAATTTTCTTACATCTTTCTCGGCTAAACCAAACAATAGAGCATTACAGCAATCAATCCTAGTGAAACAAATGCATGAATTAATTTCTCAGTGGTTTTCTTATCAAGTAAATTTCTTATTTGTCAAATTTGTCTAATTGCATACATTGCTAAACGGCGTGTCATCTTAAGATGATCTTGAAGTTGCAGTTTATAATCCATGTACACCCAGGTTCCTCGCTCCTGCTTTTTAAACGACATTTAGACCATTAACTATACTACAGTAGCAGGTTTCAAAGATGAGTTACACTATGATGAGAGATGAATAAGCTCAGTCATGTCAGCATTGATCTTTAAATTGTTGATATGAGCACATGAAACTATGTCCCTCAGACAGTTATTAACTTTCATGATGGCTACCTGGTGATTAGTCCGGAGTAAGTCACGTAAATTTGAGTATCATCTGCGTATAACATCGAACTAAGTCCATGAGAAGAAGCGATGTCAGCAATAGGAGCACTATACAGTGTGTAGAGTAGTGGCCCGACGACCGAACCTTGAGGTACTCCGCACTGATTGCTGACATGACTGGATAGTGCGTCCTTTACCTTCACCACATGAGATCTTTCAGACAGATAAAAGGTCAACCATTTCCAAACCACACCATCTAGGCTAAAACGATGTTGCAAACGATCAAACAGACATTTGTGATTGATGGTGTCAAGTGCCGAATTAAAGTAAGGCCTAAGATAAAAACTTGTTTTATTGCCCTTTAGGTGCCCAAACATGGGTCGGTCGGTCGGTAAAGTTTTTTTTGTCGCCCTCTTTGGGCCGATATTTTTTCAGATTTGAATATGTTTTTTTTTCTTTTTTTCATAATTTGATTTTTTGCGTTTATATCTTATTTAAACTAACAAAATACATATTTTGTTATTCACTAATTAAAACAAATCTAAAAAAACGTTTTAAATTTTTTTTTTTTTTAAATATATGAAAATGCCGACCGTAGATTTTTGGGTCGGTCGCAAAGGGCAATACAACAAGTTATTATTTTAGGCCTAAAGCAAGACGAGAAGGACTTCCCTCCTTTGATTCATATTGAATACACATGAGAAAATTAACACCTTGAGCATCTAACACCCATGAATTGGAACCTATGCAAAAGACAGACAAAACAAACAAACAAATCAGCTTACACATAGGCGTTAAAACAAAAACAGAGAGAAAGAGAAAGTACAAACCAAAAACAAAAGAAAAGAAAAGAAATAACTTTTTGGCGTCCAATAAACATGTTATGACATTCTCATTTTCCTTCATTCTTCCTTCTTAAAAAACTTTATGAATATAGTATCAAAGCTTAAAACGACTTTATTTAAAAAAAATTCCCACTTACGATGGTGAATTCCAATGGAGTTATGATCGATTTCCAATTTGTATTCTTGACTTTTACTTCTAAAAGCATTTTTATTTCTGTCGTAGAGGTTGTTATTCTTTTTTCCCGACTGCGAAAAATTATAAACTTGATCAACAGAATAACATGATTCACTAATTTTTCAAAACCTCTATTTGTATGATGTATCCCTAAATGTACTTCTTCTCATGTCAGCCTAATGCATTAAGTGTCCAATTTTATTAAAACAAATAAATTTTTTAAATATTTTTTTTAAAACCCAGTTCGATAAGCAACCCTCTCAAAACCAATAATGTATTAATTTTGAGATAAATTATATCTCAACATGTGTAAACTAAACAGTTTAAAACATGTGTTTTAACGTTTGGAATATTAAATTTTATTGATTTTAATATTTTTTTGAAGCCTTAAAACTTTTTAATCCGGTGGAATTGCGGCTAAGGCTATATCCAATGTGCCGTTTCTCGCCAAAGTTACCGGGAATATTGTTGCTCAACGACTGACAGCTAATCTTCAAGAATACTTAAAGGGTCCCCATGAAATCATTCTTGCAGGCAGGATATACGAGACATCATAGTGTTGAGACAGCTCTTCTAAAGATATGTGATGACATCCTTAGATCAATCGATGGCAAGAAGGCCCTCATGATAATCCTACTTGATCTGTCGGCTGCTTCGACACCATTGATCATGATGTGTTGCTTCAGAGGCTAAAGGATGATTTTAGGGAAGAGGAAACAGTTCTGCAGTGGTTTCACTCCTATCTCGTTTCAAGAAGGCAAGCTGTCAACATCGATGGTACCCTATATGAAGGGTTCTATATAGGGCAATTACCCGCTGGGCAACCACCCCCCCCCCCCCCCCCCAGGTCGATTACCAGCAGGGCAATCCCCCTCCCCCCCCCCAGGACAATTACACCCCAACAAATTAACCTTGAAAAACTACCCGAGGACAATTGCTCCCTAGAAAATAACCCCCTAGGACAATTACCCCCCGTGGACATTTACCCGCGAGTAATATTTACCCCCACCCCCACCCCCACCCCCCCCCCCCCCGAAGTCATTAGCCCCGAAACTTGTTATCAGGTTGGACTTTTCTTTAAATAAACAGGGGGGTTTGGGGGGAGGGGTGTGTATTTGTCCTCGGGTGATTGTCCTTGGTTGTCTTTGGAGGCGTATTTTTTCCTAGGGGTAATTTTCCGGAGGTTATTGTCCTTGAAAGTAATTTTCCGAGGGTAATTTTCCGGGGGCTGAATGTCCATGGGGTATTATTGTCCTGATACGTTTCTGAAGAAGCCTCTCTACACTATGGTGTTCCCCATGGATCAGTCCTCGGACCACTACTTTTCACGCTGTACACTGCCCCTCTCAGTTTTTTCAATCGCCATCTATGGTACTCGGGGGCCCTTCTCGATCTTCTACCCCCACCCCCCCCCCTTTCCTAATCTCGTCGGACCTCTCAACTCCCCCCCCCCCCCAAAAAAAAAAAAAAAAATCCCTTTCCCCTTTCTCTCGCTCTCTCTCTCTCTCTCTTTCTCACTCTCCCGTATCAGAAGGGAGTCTAGTATATAGTCCCGCCTTCAATCTTGTTTCAACCACCTTTCAAAAAACAAAGTCACATATGACGCGTTTTTGTATATTAGGTGCTGGACTTTTAATTTTCATGTATATGGATACAAACAGATTTTCGCAAAAATGAAAGACAAAAATATTTAAAGAATTACGAACATCACATCTGAAATATACATAAATGTCTTTATCTCTTTCTCTCTCTCTGCCATTCATCGGTTCCCATTTTGGGTCTAAAATTCGAAGGAGCACAGTAACAATATTAGGGAGCATATTATCTATAACCTAGCTGTGTCCGATGCCCCTTCAATGGCTATGGCTGGAACAACGCTTTGTGATTAAAGTCCAGTGATTACTGCGAATATTTGTAATATTTTAGTTTGTTTAAACTATATTGATTCTTCCTTTCGTAGAATTCTGGGTCAAATAAAATGAACCTACTATATGTTTATTTGATAAGCCTGTTTACTATTTTGATACGATTGCATTGTATCGGTAACAACTTTGTTTTATGTGTACCCGGTTTTATATTCATATTCATTGTTATATATTGTAAATGTCGTAGAATTGTCAGGCTTATATTATTATCAGACTCAAAGCAAAAAACTATCTTATACATATCATATACTATCTTGCATAATAAAAAAATGTTATTGTTTGCACGATCTATCGGCCTCCAAATACGAGCGTTGATATATTTTTGGAAGATTTAAACATTTTATTAGAACGGATAAATCATGAAAATAAAGATGTATACTTGATGGGTGATTTTAATATAGACCTGTTGAACTCGGATAATAATAATTATAATACTTTTGTGAATATTTTACAAGCGAATTCTTTCATTGGAGCCATCGATAAACCTACAAGAATTACGCAGAACACATCAACTTTAATAGATAATATTTTTACGAATGTTGTTTCTGAACATATGAATGCTGGTCTAGTTTACAGTGAAATATCTGATCACATTCCTATATTTCTTATTTGTAATAATGATCTCATGTCTCGTACAAAACAGAAGGAAATATCAATGTCTCGTAAATTTAAAGCAGAAAATATATTATCTTTAAATAATGATTTAATGATGGAAACATGGAACGATGTACTATCTTGTCGGGAAACTGATACTGGATATGAACTATTTTGGAATATATTTTCAGCCCACTTTGATAGATGTATTCCAAAGACTAAACAAAATAAAAATAAAAGAAAACCACAACATCCATAGATAACGAAGGGAATTTTTCGTTCAATTAAGAAACGAAATATATTGTACAAACGTACTCTCCGTGATCCAAGCAACGAGAATAAATACGAATATAAATGTTTTAGGAATAAATTAACAACAATAATTAGACTATCTCGTAAAATGTACTATGTAAAAGAATTTGAAAATGTTAACGGTAATATGGCATCTACCTGGAAAGTCATAAAAGAAACTCTTCGAAAGCAAAATACCAAGTCAAACATTAATATTAACAATGATGGTCAGACAATTTCAGACTCTAAGGATATAGCAGATTGTTTTAATAAGTATTTCGTAAATGTAGGCCCTATTCAGGCATCGAAAATAAATTCCAATGGTTCAGATTATTTACAATTCCTTTCAAATCCATGTGATAAATCGTTTTTCTTTATGCCTACAAACTGTTTTGAAATCTTGAATATTATCAATTCATTGAAAATAAGTTATTCTTGTGGACATGATGAGATGAGTACGCACTTTTTAAAACAAATAGCAGGAAGTATTGTAACGCCTCTAGTACACATTTGTAATTTATCACTTACAACAGGAGTCTTTCCGGACTCACTGAAAATAGCAAAAGTAATTCCAATATACAAAAAAGACGACTCTTCTCTAGTTTCAAATTACCGACCTGTTTCTATCTTACCAAGTATTTCTAAAGTCTTAGAAAGACTGACATATAATAGACTGTATGATTTTCTAACAAAAATGAACTGTTGTATGAAAATCAATATGGTTTTAGAAAATTTCATTCAACGGAGTTAGCATTGTTACAATTATTTGATAGAGTGTCAAATGCCTTAGCTGATCATAAGCATGTTATTGGAGTATTCATGGATCTGAGCAAGGCATTTGACACTCTTGACCATACAATACTTATACGTAAATTGGAATACTATGGATTGAGGGGTGTTGCTATACAATGGTTTAAAAATTATTTAACAAATAGAAAACAATGTGTATGTTATGATTCAAATGAATCAGAATTATTATCTATGACGTGTGGAGTGCCACAAGGGTCAATCCTTGGCCCTTTGTTATTTCTGATATATGTAAATGATATTTATAACTCATCAAATGCACTACAATATATTTTATTTGCTGATAACACCAATGTATTTTGCTCCAATTCAGATTTTCAGATCCTTTTAAGAAATATTAACGCTGAATTACCAAAATTATCAAAATGGTTTAGAAGTAATAAACTGTCTCTTAATTTAAAGAAAACAAACTATATATACTTTCAGAACAGAAAAAATAATGATATTCCGAACATTGAAATTACTTTGGATGGTGAATTATTGGAAAAAAAGGATAGCACGAAATTCCTTGGTGTTTTGATCAATGAAAATCTGAGATGGAATAATCATGTGCAATATATTTCTAATCCTATTTCACGTAATATTGGTATTCTCTGTAAATCGAAATATTATGTCCCTTCAAATATCTTGTTTATGTTATATAATTCATTAATACTGCCATATATTTCATATTGTAACATTATATGGGCAAATTCGAAAAGTAACGTTGACACCATTATACTATTACAAAAGAAAGCAATGCGTATATGTACTGATTCTTCCTATCGCGACCACACCAATCCCTTGTTTTCAAAACTAAAAACTCTAAAAGCTGATGATATTTATATTCTACAAATAGCACTTTTCATGTTTCGTTTACAAAATGGTCTACTACCTTCATATTTTCCCCATTGTTTAATTTGAATAAAACCATCCACTCTTACCCTACAAGGCAAACTGAAAAATTCCATTTAAGAAATCCTAAAACCGCATTGGCTCTCAAATCCATAAGACACGCCGGCCCAGACATCTGGAACTCTCTGCCCATTGTAATAAGAAACCTTAGGACATTGTATTCATTTAAGAAGGCAGTTAAAACTATGTTATTGTCTAAGTATTGATCATGTCGTGTGTAATTGCACTGTATTCATGTTCGTGTGTACAGTGACTGTATATTCAATAATGATGTGTACTCGTCCATGACCTAGCATCGTTTAGCCATTTTATGAATGAACCTGCATTCAATCAGCAGATGTACGAGATTTATTGTGTTATTACCAACGCTCCTTCTCTCCCCTTTCCTTTTCTTCTCTGCAAGTCAGTCTTTTCTATTTCTATTTGTTATTGTTGTTGTATCTAAGTTGAGGGCTGCGGGCACGTCAAGCTACTTTGCTTATTTCTGTAGCCCTCCTGCATCTAATGTATGTTAATTATGCATTCAATATATTTGTTTAAATTCGTTCATTATCTGTATAAAATTATATACACTTAAAATATTGTATCAAACCATATTATGTTCATGAAAATGTATGATGTAAAAAGAAAAAAAAAGATGCAGAAACCAATAAATCAAATCAAATCAAATCAAATACACACATGCATTTTTGAGGGAGGGGATGAGGGCTGGGGGGCTTAAGCGCTCCATAAAATTGTTCATTTCCCCCTCCCCCCCCCCCCCACCCCCCAAAAAAATAATATATATATATATATATATATATATATATATATATATACATAAAAATGATAATAATAATGATAAATAAATTCATAATAATAATGAATAAGAAAAACAATGGTTGATTTGTTTCATATTTTAGAATTATCGATTAAATGAGGTAAGAGTCCCGATGGCGCATATTTTGAAATATTTCTGTCCGTGTATTTCAATTTTTCTGGTAAGGCCAGGAAATCCCCGCTTAAAGATTGTACATTATTTTCTTCTGTGCATCTTTAAGCCATTTCAAGACTTAAAATGAAGAAGAAGACATGAAAAGAAAAGAGAACCCCCCCCCCCCCTCACACATTACCAAGGAAGGGGTTAATGTGGGCTCCATGGGTGGTGGTGGGGTGAGGGGGTGGTACACCAACAGCCGCCGAAAAAGGGTCGGAGTTTCGTCCCTCAGCAAGTTTTTAAAAAATGCAAACAATGACTATTAATCATAAATCAAAAATTATGTTATGTGCCATTAATCTAATATCAATTTTGTTGCTCGGTCTTTACGCTCCCTTGCATAATAATCATTTTAATGATATTACCATAATTATGTAGTAGAATACCGAAAGCCGTAGGTATTAGGCATCAGCAAAGATGTCATTGTATGTTTACACTAGAGCTAGTGAATACAACAAAGAAAATCATCAGGACATAAGTTGAACAAAGTGCAGGGTCGAGCGATTCAAGTTGTGGGGGCATATCGGGGACGATCCGAGCCCTCCCCCTCATGGAAAAAAAAAACTTTAGAGCCCTATAGGAAGCTTATAGGAAAATACAAATTTAGATCCAATCGCTTTCAAACGAAGGGGTGGGGCATTTACCGCCTCCATCATACATGACTATGCTAGGTACGCCATGTGTCAAGTGCTAGTCTCTTTTTCTTTTTTATCCCGGCTACAAAATGACTTGAGTTTCCTCCAGTAGAAGCGAATGTACAGGATCTTGTGGGCCTGCTCGACGAAGGTGTAATCAACGAACTCGAAGACTGTGAGGAGACTGGCTCCGAGATGAACACCGATGAGCCCTCCAAGATCACCTAGGTAAAGTAAGAGACAATAAATAATAGTCACATTAGTATAGCTCTTAATCCTACGTTATTAAGCGTTTTACATTGAATTCAAATCCGCACATGATAGTGCACACGCTTCACTCCCTGGGGAGTATTCTTATTCCGGCCAGACGCCATTTTACAAGCGCACATTAGTCAATCCAACATAACCACACTAACTCCCGCGTCCTGTTGGGTGCCCATTTAACACCTGGGTGGAGAGTGGCAAACGTAGATTAATGTCTTTCCAAAATGACATTAGTGTCGCGGCGGGACTCGAACTGTGAACCATGTGGTTCACAGTTCGACGACGTATCCACTAATAGATCACGACACGATAAAGGGAAAATGAAGGAAAGCTATGAAGGAAGAAGTATAAAATATACTAACTAATAAGAAAAATTACCCTATAATAACTCATAATATTTTCATGCTTTCACACAATTTAAATTGCTAAAAAGGTTTTGATTTCTCTTTCATAACACTGAGATACATTGACTTTACTTAAAGCTACAGTCCCATATACGTCCCGGACCGTCCCGGACCATCCCGGACCCCATCCGGGGTGATCCGGGATTCGGTCCGTGTTGACACCGTGTTGGCACCGGGGTGGTCCTGGATGGTCCTGGATGGTCCTGGATGGTCCTGGGCGGTCCGGGAGTCGACCCCGGATGTTTTTGACGGTCAAAAACTGCCGGGGTGGTCCGGGACGGTCCGGGACAATAGTTTGATCCGGGGTGATCCGTGTAGCCACCGTGCTGGGTCCGGGGTCATCCGTAGTGGCGCCGGGGCGGTCCGTGTTGATCCGTGGCAGTCCGGGAGTGAGTTATTGACCGCCCAGGACCATCCAGGACCATCCAGGACCATCCAGGACCATCCAGGACCACCCCGGTGCCAACACGGTGTCAACACGGACCGAATCCCGGATCACCCCGGATGGGGTCCGGGATGGTCCGGGACGGTCCGGGACGTATATGGGACTGTAGCTTTTAAAGCATCACACTTTTTTGAACAAAACATCCCGGACTATCCCGGATCACCCCAGACCATGGTCCGGGATGGTCCGGAGTGGTCCGTGCTCGTCCGTGCTGGTCCGGCTTTATATGGGACTGGGGCTTAAGCGGAATATACATATCTAAACTTCAATATGTCACTACTTTACCCAGTGGCGGATCCAGCCGGCGGGAAGAGGGGGGGGGGGGGGGCCCAATCCGCGAGAAAATATTAGTTGCGACTCAGCCGTCGGTGAATAAGCGGGGGGGGGGGGGGGGGGGTAGGAGGCACTTTTTTTTGTCCAATTTTTCAGGAAATATTTTGCGCCGTCTCAGTCAGCCGGTGAATAAGCGGGGGGGGGGGGGAGGGTGAGACCACTAATTTTTTTTTTTTGGACCTAATTCGTGAGATTTTTTTTTTTTTAATTCTTTTTTTGTTGTTGACCCGTCAGCCCCCCCCCCCCCCCCGTGGATCCACGCCTGCAGAGGATCCAGCCGGCGTCAAGGGGGGGGGGGGTAGCCAAATCTTAATACAAAATTTAGTGTTGTCTCAGTCGGCCGGCGAATAAGTGGGGGGGGGGGCTTTTGTTTTTTGTTTTATAAAGGTTAACTTTACGTTATTATCCTATTTTTTTTTATCCTTTTGGAGGGCTGGGGGGGGGGGCCGGGCCGGAAAAATCGCTACGTGGATCCGCCCCTGACTTTACCCCACAAATCGGATAAATTGTAGGCAGCCACGCTCTTGGTATGATGCTCGTTCATATCGGCAAAGTAAATCTCGACCTCTGCGATGTTGCTCCTATTCAAAAGAAAAAAAATAGTGATCATTATTATTATTAACATTATTTTGTAGAAAAGTTTTGAATATTTGTGTATGCTGCCTTTTCTTCTTCTTTCTCTTCCCCTCTGTTTTGAGCGTGACCCCCTTTTATTATTAATTTTGTATCTTGCGCTATATATTACCTGTAAATATTGTGATTGTGATTGATTAGTTAGAATAAATACATGGATAATAATTTAAAAAATGAATAGTGATAAATATGAACGCAGAGACTTGCAATAATGGAAATAATTCTCCTCCCCCCCCCCCCCCCGTTTTTGCCATTCGAGAGGGGGGGTCGCCCTAGAATCTATTCACCTAGGGTAGGTTGTCACATATACATTAATTGGTGGGGGAATAGCTGTACTCATCGGATAGCCTTTAATTTACTAATATATGAACTCCACGGCTTTGCAATACATCCTCTCCATCTCGGAGAGTTGTCAGTATACTTACTAAAAAGAGAATTACATTAAGTGGTTTCAATGGCATTCAATATTATTGTATTTTAAATATTCATACAGATCAAAAGAGTCCGAACAGCTTCGCAATTCTTTTGTATTTGAGTAACCTACTTTTAGAACACTTCTGTCACATTGACTATGCGTTGGCCGAACGGCATTACTAATAATTAAAAAACATTGCCCCCTTGCAAACCGGGTTTTTATTGTGCACTCAAAAACAAGTAATGAACCCTTCCTAAACCCTAACTTTTTGTCAGTTTAAATAAACACGGTAAATACTTGAGATAGTTATCCGCATTCTATTATGCATTTCGTCGTATTTTTTAAATGTTTATTTTTTTTCTTCTTTAGAATGCTAAATGTTTTGTTGAATGACGAATATAGTCAAGGCCACTGACGAAACGTTTAGGGAGTAAACATGCCGTCCTCTGCTACATTATATTTCATCATGTTCTAATGGAAAAACTTGACCAGTACCACCCCCCCCCCGTATATATATATATATATATATATAGGCTCACGCTAGACTACAGGGATCACGTATTTAACTTACGTAACATCATCTCTAGTCCAGTTAAACTGATTCTGCAGCCGTTGTGAGTCGTCCTTTCCTGGTGCTTTCAAATAGCTCATGGTCATCTGGAAATGCTCTGTATAACATGCCCTCTGACAGTGGGAAGTGGTTAGGTTTGAATCTTCTTGGAGATCAAGGCCACAGCCAGCCGTAGAGGTGAAGAAGAAGAAAAAATAAAGCCCCAAAATACAACAAAACAAAACAAACAACAAACAACAAAAAATTAAAAAATTGTTGATGATTTTGAATACAGTATTACATCTCCCCATCCAAACGATTCTGTTGAAGGATTTTCTCATGAAATCTTACATCATTTCTTGCAGGAGAAATGACTGCAGAGCCCACATTAGCTACTTGCCCATTTTTAGGATACCACTGATTAATTAATATTCACAGAAATATTAATCATCGATTTTTGTTTTTCATGAAAGTATTTTCTTTCTCGTTACTTGCTCCTTTTTGTTTTGTTCCTTTTACAAAATATCCATGTCCGTCAATGAAGTTTCATGAATGAATACATAATATACTTCATTAAATATCGATGAACATACAATTAGGTGACAAGGTTGTCGTTCTAATATAGTAGTTTATTTGTCCTTGAATCTACATACCCACTTCGAAGTCATGGAGCCCACAGTCAATGATTTGTCTAACAGTACACACAGGAGATGGACCTGTTATGAAAAAGACAAGTGTTATCAAAAATGATAAACAATAGAGATAATAATAATATTGCTATGATGATTATAGTGATGATGACGGGGCCACCCTGTTTAAATAAAACGAAATAAATAAATAAATAAATAAATGATCTTGATGATAATAATAATGATGATGATGATAATTTAAAGCGCAACATTATAATAATGATAGTACTGACGATAATATCTGTAACAACGATGATGGTGTTCTTGTTGTTGAGGATGATAACAATACTTGTACAAAATAATAACAACAAGAATCTTTCCCCCCCCCCCAAAAAAAAAAAAAAAAAATGACCTAAAAAAAAGAAGACTGTTAGAAGTTGGCAGCAATAAACTTATTTTCAACAACAAAAAAAAGGCTTCGAACCCATTTTTTTAAATGCTGGGAATGACCAGTTAAGGGGGGGCCGTCCCTCCTGAAGGCTGGTGCCGCCGCCACCCCCCCCCCCCCCCTCCCTTAATCCTGCCCCTCACGTACCTGGCATGTATGGGAATCTGCATCCACACGCTTCTGTGAGTTGCTTGGTTGCGCTTTCCGTCAGGCACGCCTCCTCCGAGTAAAAAGGGTAATACTCCAAGGGAACGTCTCGACAATCAGTTTTGTATGGATGAGACATGTTCCGCTCCTTGAGAGAGGGATGAAGAAAGAGAGAGAGAGTGACAGGGGAGAGAGAAAGAGAGAGTGGAGAGAGAAAGAGATCAATAATCGTTATAGTACTAATGGGAATAGTATTCAAATTCAAATTCAAATTCAAATGAACTTTTATTTTCTTCCAAACAATACAATTTATAAGTAGGAACATAAATATATTTAAAGAACTTGTTTTACAAGGAAGAAGGCGCGAAACCCGAAAAGCATAGCTTGTAGTGGTTACGCCCGAATACATAAATATAATTATACATTATAAATGGGAGAAAGGAAGAAAGGAAGAAAGGGATATCTCATAGTTTTGGAAACCACATTTCAATGTCGTAAAATAGTGTTCTGTGTCTGTCCCTTAAAGCCCCACTGCACTACTTATAGCTACTTGCGCCCTTTATACAGCTTCCAATGCCTAAGCGGTACCCGCTGATCCACCATGATGCCCCTTTTCTTATGTTAATTGAGTGCTGATTTGATCAGATAACCACCTGCCAGTGACCTTGCAGGGAGGTCTAATCCCTCCATGCCAAACTAGTGTAGAGGGGCTTTAAAGGGATAGTTGAGATCTTTGTTCAGACCGCAAATGCCTTCAAAATGCATGGTTATTGCTCTTATTCTTATTTATGACAATTCTAGTGCCCTTTTTAGGACCTTAAATTGCTGTGAAAGTAATTTTAGAGCCCAACATGTGTGAAATTTAGCCATTACGATCATACCGATTCAGCTCTACTTAAAAAAATACGTGACCGTTAATTAATTAATTAATTAATTAATAATAACAATACACGGGCCGGCTGGTTGTGCGTATTACAACCAACACAAAAAGCCAACATGTGCATTGGCTGGAACAAAACGTGTATGGCGTTTTTTTGTTTTTTCAACGGCTGGTTCAAAATTGGTGCCCCACAAATATTATAAATGGTTATATTTATGGATATTTCAGCCGTCTCTGAACCGATTTTGATCAAACAAAGATGATTTTGTCCTTTAAATTGTATGTTATTTCAAATTTGACACTCAGTTTTTCATTATCTCCCCCCAAAAATGGTGTGTTGCGCCCTCTGCAACAAAGCTCAACTATCCCTTTAATGTAGAATTTTCAATCACTTAATTGAGTTATCGAAATGTTAGTGATTTGTGGTTTGTGCGTTATTTTGTTTTCTTTTTGCAGCTTCTGGATCCGGTGATTGTTGTGCTTACCGTGTGCTTTTTGATGGCAATAAGGGTTCGAACACCTGGCATTATGGCGACCCCGATATCAGAGACCAGTGGTACGTCGCCTCGATGATGGACAAGAAGCTTCATGGAAATTAGAAATATAAATTATGACATTTAAAAAAAAAGGGAAGACAACCCTGATATCAACTTGGTTTTAAAGGGCCACTCATACCCAAATAACATAGCCTTTTAAAACATGAATACACCTCTACTAATTAATATTCAAGCCTCTGATTTTTCAGAAAATCTCTAAATTGACCAAAAAGTGATAATAACCATCCATTTTTGACGGATCTCACGCTTGCTGGGCTACGCCCCTCGAAAGAAGATAATACGTTCACGTGGTTTGATGACGCATTTAACGTCATTGCGGGAATGTCCGATTTGTACGGATCTTACAATCTCATTGTAATTCATAATTAGGAATGACGAAATTAAATTCCCAGAAATGTACTGGGATTATCAAGTGCATATTATTTTTCGGATAAATGTCTTCTTTGTTTTCTCAATTAATATCATAGTTTGCCTTTTAAAGACATTTTAATGCCTAAATCACCCTCCTTTTCACCGAAGAGGCTCCTGCAGTGACGTCATATGCTACTGTGCAATACAGCTCTGAATCTGGGTTTTTTTCTTGAGCGTTTTGAGTCGTCATTTTTATAGCTAGATTCCAGAATTATTGATGAATTGTAAGAAAGATCATTGTCATGTTCGGAATCTCCGTCAAAAATTATTATACTTGTCTTTTTTTCCTTTTTTTTTATCCGTTTTGGTTAGAGTGGCCCTTTAATAAAAGCAGAAAAATGAGAGGAGCATGCACGTCAGTTAAAGTTCGAGCAAAATCCGATTAAAAATAAGAAAGTTATGACTTTGTTCAAGTTGCGATCAATTAAACTTAAATTAGCAATGCTGTGACGTATCTTGCGGAATCCATTACACTGTTGACACATGCTCCGCCGACGATTGCTCCGCCGACATTTACTCCGCAAAACGCGACAATATTATTGCTCCGTGAAATTTGCACAGCGACAGTTGCTCCGACGACAATAATTGCTCCGCCGATATTTGCTCCCTCGACACTGGCTCCCCGAACAACACTTGCTCCTCCGACAGTACAGTTGCTCCTCCGACAATGGCTCCGACGACAATATTGGTCCTCAAAAAAAGAAAATTGCCCCGTGGAAGAAAATGCACTTTTGGACCAGAGAGCAATTTTGTCGCCGGCGGTGCATTTTTCTTCAACGGGGTACTTGGGGGAGGAGCAATAATTATTGTCATAGTAGCATTTGTATTTTTCCGGGCACTTTGGGGGAAGAGAAAATGTCGTCGGAGTAAATGTCGGCGGACCAAGTGTCGTAGGAGCAAATATCGGCAGAGTAACTGTGGAGCATTTATCTTCATGCCGAGCAATAATAATTATTGTCGGAGGAGCAACTGTCGGAGGAGCAAGTGTCATTTGAGGGGCATTCGTCACCGGGCATTTATCTTCATGCGGAGCAATTGTCGGCGAAGAAGTTGTCGTAGGAGCAAATATCGGCAGAGAGTACAAGGACAAATAGTTTTAGAGAAATAACAGTGTGTGCATTGGTACAGGAGAGAGAGAGATAAGGGGATCGAGGGAATTATTCTTTATTATTTTGATCTCTTTCTGATTAAAATTGAGTGCTCATTGTCGCCCTACTGTAATTATCAGGAATTCAATTCACTTCTATCGGTTTTACATAGCGTGATTATTGAATTATTCAATATTTGAAGCGAAATGGATCATGTTTTGCATCCGATATACAATGTGAGCGTTTGTAATAACCCTATTTTAAAAAAAATATTTAAGAGCTTGCCTTAAATCCAATCCCTTCCGAAGACAAGGCTGACACGTATTCATCAACCTCGGCATTAAGACGGACCCAAAGGCTTTGCCGCGTTCCACTTCGGTTTATTTCAAGTCTAATGTCGCCTTCGACGTCATCGTCGCTCTCAAACTCGCCATCGTTGAACGTGTAACAAACCCCAGCGTCGGTGATCTTCCTGGTGAAATTCGCTGCTCCGCACGCCTTCAATCCCCTCTTCCACGCGCACTCTAAAATCATGTCGGACGCTTGGTGCGCGTAGGCCAGCAAAAGCTCATCCACTTGCGTTTCGAAAGCGTCATCAGTTGCGTTTATCCCGAAAGTGTCCCAGCCGCGCTCAGGCGATCCGTCAACGAGGACTTGAACGATGGCTCTAGAGGTCGGATTGTCGATGAGCGATGCCTTTGCGAGGTTTGAGTTGCAGATGGTAACGGCGGGAAAGGCGATAGAAGATTTTCGAATCGTTGAAAATTCCTCTTTTGTCAAACTAGCTTTGTACTTAACTACGAGTTCTCTGCACGTCATAATTAAAAAGACGTATGACACAAGCATGGCGCACACCCAAGATAATCTGAAAAATTAAAGTAATTGTTAAAGAAACCAGTCAAATTGGTCCACAATAGGATTTTGACTTACAGACTTTGGACATAATTATAGAGATGATTTGCTTCTTGGCATTTTCAAAATGATTGGTCAACCTTTCATTGTAACATGTTCTAAGGCTACTTTAGAAGAAGAAAATTCTAAAATTACAGCAGCAGCCCAAAGGAAGTGAATACGGGGAGGGGGCGCTGTTTTGGTGATGCACAGAACAGATTGGATTATAGACCGCTCGACCCCCCCCCCCCCCTCTCCCCTTCCCCCTTCCCACATGTGAGCCCCTACCAAGATTGCCATGTGATAGGGGGTCCCAGCTTCTTCTTAAAAGTGGAAGGGGTGGGGTCGCCTCTTTCGTCTTCCGGATCCACCACTGAACCACCCCCTCCCGAATCCAATGCATGCTACTGAGATTTTGACGCAGGTATTGCCACTATACCCTTTCTCTTCTAATGGGATGTTTGATAATACTGTAAATACCGGTAATTGCATGGTAATAGGTTGCGGTGTAAAACAGCCTGTCTGTCATAACAGATTATGATAATATCGATTTGAACACTCTAAGCTTTAGGTATATTGTCTCTCTCTCTCTCTCTCTCTCTCTCTCTCTATTTCTCTCTCACACACACACACACACTCTCTCTCTCTCTCTCTCTCTCACACACACACTCTCTTTCTCTCTTCCCTTCTCTCTCTCTCTCTCTCTTGATTTTTTTAATCACACTGTGCTAGGCATCAGGTTGATAATGTCAAAACAAAATCAATAGAGCAATTGTGAGCAAACAAGCACATGCGTGTCAAATTTGTTTCATTGTAGTAATTACCTGACTCTTTAACGAGTACATGGAGATACATTCGTCAGTTTCAGGCATGAAAAGGATAATGCTATTGGTTGTTCATTATTGCAAAGTAGGCGAAGAAATCTCAGATTTATTTTAATTGCTATTCACTTATTATGCCCCCCTTCACATTTTTTTTATGAGTGCTTACGGATAGCACAAATTTACAGATCCTTACGATTTGTCCACTTTTACGACCGACTTAAAAGTTGTTAAGAGTTATTACGAGCTATTTACGGCTCATTATGGATAATTACGAGTTAGGCCTATTACGATGTATTTACGGAAAAATTCCACGATTTGTTACGAGTTGTCACGGATAACTACGAGCAACTTACGGGCATTTTACGAGCTCTTTACGGAATGTTACGAGTATATTACGGAATGTTACTACTCATCTAAGCTTTTACGTGTTAGCTACGTCATGTTTACGTGTGGTTGCGAGCGGAATACGATACTTACGGATTGTTACG